CTAACTAAAATCCATAAATAATCCAGTTGATTGACAATAATGCTCATTATAAAATCCAGTTCAAAGTATTTGAATTCACGTGGCAATCACTTGATGTTAAGAAATATTTGTGCACGCCAACATCATCTGCAGTACCTGAGAAAGTATTTTTTACAGCTGAAAATATTGTTTCAAATAGACAAACAAAATTCCACAGCTCACAATGTTGAAAAGATTAACTACAGTTTAGAAAGAAATAAATTTGTTTGAAAAACTTTATACTAGATTAATTGTAGATATGGGAAAGAAACAAGTTGATTTGCCTAAAAAGTGATCCCGATCAACAAACTTTGAATTCTTTCCCATCTCCACTTGATCAAACACACTATTACTTGGTAAAAATATTTTTATGATTGTTAAAGTATCTGGTTAACAAATATTTTAATTAGAAATTTTTTGATTACATTTTTAATAATGTTTGGTTTACAGAAAAAGATTTTGATTTTTTGATTTCATTTTTTTACATTTAGAAATTAAATAAAGTTTCCTTCTAAAGAATGAATTTACTTTACAAGAATAGTTATTTTTAAGCTCTACTAATGTTTCTTATAATATTTTCTTTATCATTTTTAAGGTCTACTAATGTTTCTTATAATATTTTCTTTAACATTTGGTAAAAAAAAAAATAATTATATATTATATATGGTAATGAAAATTTAATTAACTGTGTTATATCAACTCTCTAAAATAATTTCTCATATCAGGCTTTCACAGGAAGACATGCAATTTCATGTCTATATATGACCAAACAAAAAAAAATGTTATAACGATTTGACCACGGCATATTTTTAAAATTTAAAAACGCTCTACAAAAACTTACCTAAACTTATCTGAAAAAAAATTTAAAAAAATAATAAATATTAAAGGGATTACCAAGTCCCGAGACATGTTGTGTTCATATTAAAGAAAATGTTAAAAAAAAATGTCTGAGCAAATTTTTTTTGATTAAAACTAATTAATAACTGTGTACCAAGAAAAACAAATCTTGTTGTTTTAGTCAAAGCTCGTATTCTCCATTTTCTGCGGTATTTTGAGTATGTAAAATAAACGCGATTTGTTTTACAAACACATTTTAGAACTTTAAAATATAATAAAAATGAATATGATTTGAAAATTGTATGTAAAAAATAACAATCAGTGTTTTAAACAAAACAAAAAAAACTATGACGTCATGCTCTAAAACTCCTATGAATTAAACGCGCTTGAATAAATTATCAAGTCTGTATAATGCGCCTGGAAAATCGCGTTTATTTTACATACTCAAAATACCGCAGAAAATGGAGAAGACGAGCTTCGACTAAAACAACAAGATTTGTTTTTCTTGGTACACATTTATTAATTAAATTTATTAAAAAAATTTGCTTAGACGTTTTTTTTTAACATTCTCTTTAATATGAACACAACATGTCTCGGGACTTGGTAATCCCTTTAACGAAAGAGAAAATAAATAAAAAAATACTTATTAAAGCAAAAACACAAAAAAATAAATATATATATATATATATATGAAGAGTGAATTTTCAAAATGCGGTATATCCATTTTTGTGGTATTGAGATAATTGACTTTTTTCGCCACACCAACATGTCTCGTATATTTGGAAAAATTATTGTTTCTTAATGTATATATACATAAAGTATATTATATAATGTTAATAAATAAAATATTATTAAATAAAATTTTTTTTTTTTTGTCAATAAGTTTGCATTTATTTTCAAAATACTGTATATCCAATTAAAGCTTGTTAGCAAAATGCGGTATATCCTTTTTATAAAGATGTTAAGGAATGTTTTTAAACTTTAAAAGACCTGAATAAGTTTTAATGATTAATTTTAGTTAACATATTGAACAAATATGTGTATTTAATGTTTGGTCATTATATTTTATTGATAATGTGAATGTAAACAATGTTTTATTAAAGTAATGTAAACTATTACATTTCACAATTCGCAATTGTAAATTTATATTTGTTTCGGAGAGTTAAATATGGACAATAAACAATAATATTTTTTTAGTGTTGTGTAGTTGTAACAATGATGATCACTATTTTTAAGTCTCCATAGAACTAATGGACAATTAAAATAACATAAAAGTCATCATTATATTTTTGAACGAAATAAAATTTTAAAAATGAAATGCTGCAATAGCCTCATTTTATTTGCAACAAAGCAATTGTCGGTTTAACAAAAAATAAAAAGGAAGTATTATTATTGAATGCTTTCCATTAAAAAACAGGTAACAAATATATTTAAACTTATTAATTTAAGTTGCCTTTTTAATATATTTTCTATCATTATTCCACAATTCGTTCAGTTAAACAAACAAAGCATGGTAGTTTAAACGAACACTAGAATTAAGAAATGCTTTTCTTTTCTTTTGTTTCATACATCATATCTTTTTTTCTATGTGAAATAGGATATTAGGTAGCGCATTAATCTTGTCCATCGCAATCCGCCATTTCTTTAACGCAACTTTAAAGTATTTGCGCTTGCGCAGAAGTAATATACATTTGCCACGGATTGGTCAAAATTAAATACTGCATTTTGAAAATAAATAAAAAATTTTATACCGCGTTTTGAAAATAAATGTTTTTTAGAAGTAAAAAAATATTGGGTTATACTTCGTTTAGTATATATTCGGACACAATGTCTGCTAGGTCCTTATAAACTAAAAATAAACCACACAATTTCTAAAAAATTTTTTAAATGGCGTTTACCGCGTTTTGAAAATAAACTCTTCATATATATAATGCAACTAAAACAAAACTCATCAAACTAAAATGCTTAGTCTATTTAATTTACGCATTAAAAAACCTTTTCAATCTTTGTTTCAACATTTTAATATATTTTTTATTTGTTTAATATGTTCAAAAGTTAAATATTTCTCATAAAAAATACATAGTTATATAAATAAAATAAAAAAACATTTTATAAATACTTTTTTTTAGATTAATTAAAAGTGTTTTTTTTTTTAACCTGATTAAAAGCATTTTGATAATATAAAAGCATTTAAGATCAAACTTATTAAATTGTAACGGTTTTCTAAAACTTTTTTTTTAACAAAATTTTGTTTATCTTTTCAAATGCATTAACTTTAATCATTCTTATATTTAAATTCGTTAAAGAGACTTTCGTAATCGTAGAATGTCATCGTTTATAAAAACATAACAATTTTTTATTTTTTAATGAGATTTATTTTAGAAATGAACACTTGAAAAATTTATATGTTTTAAATTAAAAAAATATATACAACTGTCAATTAAATTTAAAAAACAAAACTTTTTTTCAGTAAATTGTTACTTTATTTAAAATCGTTTCGCTAATATAAAAACATTTGTTAAGAAGTTTTGATGTAATTAATTTCACTTTTTTAGAATATTTTTTATTTAGCGTGTTTCTAAAATGTTTTTTGAATTAGCCCCAGTCAAACCGTCATAACAAAATGTAACTTGCATGGTCATATAAAGACGTGAAATCGCACACCTTCCTGTGAAAGCCTGCATATAGAACAAACAAATTTTAATTTAATTTTTCTTATTGTATTGCTTCTGTAATTTAAATTCTCATCTGGTATAATTATCTTAATTGAATCTCACATGGTATTGTAATTCTCATTTGGTTTTGTCTTGCATTCTTTGTTCAAGATTAAATAACTAAATCAATATTCACTATATATCAACCTCTTTTAATATGGAATTTTTTTCATAAAAAATTCACTAACACACAATTTTATTTTGTAATTGGTATCAAGAAAGCCTACTGAACTGCTTGTTTGGTTGATATCTTTTAATATTAGTATCATGTAATTTCGAAATTAGTATATAATTGATTCCACACAATTTTTCAAAAGTATTCTTTATCCTTCCTAATAAAAGTTGTATTACCTTATAAAACAAGATGCTTTTTTTGCAACTTTTATATTTATTATTTTGTTTAGAATTTAAATAAATAATAAATAAAACATTTGAACTTTTTCTTCTTATATACAATTTATTGCATTTTTTTCCTGTTTTAATTATTCTATTTAGAAATAACAATTTAAAATTTTGTTTTTCAAATTAGTTTTTCTCTCTCTTCTTTTTAAAATAGAAACTATTATTTAAATAAACTAAATTGCTTAATATTTTAGTCAATAAAAAATTGTGTTAATAATTTATTAAACTTTTGTAATAAAAACCTTTTGATTTTGCTTAAGTTGACATGGTCTTAAAATCATGTCTTCTTGCCAACAAGGATGCAGAGTCCCAAAAAGAAGTCTGGATTTGAAAGTAACAAAAGATTATTTCTTTCATGTTTTTAAGAACTCCAAAAATATAAAGACTACTTTTAGGAAAAAAAAACAACTTTTAAGTTAAGGGAACAATCAATTTTTAAGTCCTTATGTATAACGGAGGACTCTATAATACAAAAATACAACTAAATATCTGGTAGTAAATATAATTCTATTTGTTACTTTTTTTTAAAAGCAAAATACTTAAAGTTGATGAGATATCATTTTGAGACTTTTTCTCCATTAAAAGAAAAAGATTCATCTGCGACTTTATCTCCTTATAATTAAAGAATATATTATATTATAAAAAGTAAAAAATAGTTAGTAAAAATATTTATGTTAAAACACATATTTTTAATTTATTTGTTTAATGGTATATATATATATATATATATATATATATATATATATATATATATATATATATATATATATATATATATATATATATATATATGTGTGTGTATATATATATATATATATATATATATATATATATATGTGTGTGTATATATATATATATATATATATATATATATATATATATATATATATATATATATATATATATATATATATATATATATATATATATTTATATATATATATATAAATCTTTATAAATTAATCTTAATAATATTTTGAAAATGTTCAAATATACAATAAAATAAAAATAAATAAATAAAAAACTTACACTGGAATCCATAGCTTTAATAGCTTCTTCTGCTGCTGTTGCATCTTCGAAACTTATAAAACCATATCCTTTTGATTTTTTCAAACCATTTTCATCTTCTCTTTCTCTCACAATAAAAACTAACAAAAATGTAAAAATATAAACAAATGAAACTATGAAACAAACAAATCTATTAATTTCATGTAGTTTCATTTGTGCAGAAAATTACCACATAAAAAATTTTTTCAAATGATATTTTAAACCCCAATGACCACGAATGGTAAACAGATCTAATTCAAAAGATTAAAATTCAAAAGATTAAAGTTTCAAGTGCATATAAAAGCTTTTTTAGAAAAAAACTCTTGAGGAAACATAACCCATTTTTATTTACAAACCATGACAACATGAATAATGCTGAACTAATTTAATTTTTTAGTTCAGAATTTTTTTTTTAATTCTTTTTAATTTTAATTTTTTTTAATTCTTTTTTAATTTTAATTCTTAATTCTAATTTTTACATTTCCTTTTATCTTTAATAACTGACTTTTTTCTTTTGAACCTAATTTAGATTAAAATGGGGTCCAATGAGATAATTAGAAGTTTAAAATTCTTTTTACAAGAAAATGTTTTTCAACTTTTCTTAACTTTT